CCTTTTCCCATACCCCTTTCTAACTTACTTCCCCCTCCACCCCATTTCTCTCTCACCGCTTTATCATTTTCCTTCTATCTCTCCTATTCTCTGTCTGCCACGATGCACAAACTCTTCCCAATGTTGTGTATGTTGGTTTTGGTAACCCTGATCTTCTTGGCTGCCGTGAGAGTGGTTGTGAATTTTCCCGAAGCGGTTGTGGGTTCAAGCCCGAGAAGCCTGGGTTCTAAGCTGAAGCCTGATGTCAGAGAGGAGAGGAGGAGAGATCCTTCGCTGAAGCCTGGTCTGGGCCAAGAAAGACCAGGGGATTTTCTGAAGTCTGATTCAAGCCTGGAAAGCCCGGATGCATTTCTGAAGTCGGATTTAAACCAAGGAAGCCGAGATCTTGTGCTGAAGCCTGAAATAAGCCGAGAAAGTCAGAGCCTAGATCCCCCGCTGGAGCCTGGAGATCCCGAAAGCCAGGTTTCTTCCCCGAAGCCTGAAACAAGCCGGGAAAACGAAGATCTTTTGACGAGTCCTCCAACGAACCGAGAAAGCCCAACCCAAGATCCTCTACTAAAGCCCAATCTAAGCCACGAGAGCCAAGATCTCCTTCGGAAGCCTGATCAAGCCCCAGACAGTCCAAACCCGCTTTCCAGCCCCAAGACAACCGCCTTGCCCCCCTGCCCCGAAATGCCCCTCGTCCCAGGTCAGTGGATTCGGTCTTCTCGAGTTCCTTTCCGTGTGTTTACCTGTAACATGCAAATGAAGTGTCTATAATTACACTTTCTTCTCAGTCTAAAATTAGGGTGGATAATGTGTTAGTATTGACTGCTTATGTATTTCCATATATATACATAGATATATGTATATATGATATATATATATATATATATATATATATATATATATATATATATATATATATATATATATATATACACATACATTTATCACACACACACACTTATATATACGCATATATATACACATACATATTATATATATATATATATATATATATATATATATATATATATATATATATATATATATATATATATACATATATATGTATATATATATATATATATATTATATATATAATATATATATATATATATTATATGTGTATATATATATATATAATATATATATATATATATATATATATATGTATATATATATATATATACATATATATATATATATATATACATATATGTATATATATATATATATATATATATATATATTATATATATATATTATATATGTATGTATGTATGTATAATATATGTATGTGTGTGTATAAAAAGCAACTTCCATCCCCATTCGCAGGAAGAAGGAGAACCATCAATTCGGTGATAACGGTGGAGGAGGCGCAGAGGGCGATCAAGGGCGTGCGCGCGGGCGGGTCGTGGTGGCCGCCCCTCTGCGCCCCGCGGCAGAGGCTGGCCGTCATCGTGGCCTTCAGGGACAGGGCGGCCATGGTAGGTCACTCGCGGAGGTCAGGGGATGTCATTCTCTAGGTCAGGGAGGTCACTCGCGGAGGTCATGGGAGGTCATTCTCTAAGGTCATGGGAGGTCACTCGCGGAGGTCATGGGAGGTCACTCGCGGAGGTCACTCACGGAGGTTATGGGAGGTAATTCTCTAAGGTCATGGGAGGTAATTCTCAAAGGTCATGGGAGGTCATTCGCAGAGGTCATGGGACGTCATTCACAGAGGCCATGGTAGGTCATTCACAGAGGCCATGGTAGGTCATTCTCAGAGGTCATGGGACGTCATTCACAGAGGCCATGGTAGGTCATTCACAGAGGCCATGGTAGGTCATTCACAGAGGCCATGGTAGGTCATTCACAGAGGCCATGGTAGGTCATTCACAGAGGCCATGGTAGCCATCACAGAGGCCATGGTAGGTCATTCACAGAGGCCATGGTAGGTCATTCACAGAGGCCATGGTAGGTCATCACAGAGGCCATGGTAGGTCATTCACAGAGGCCATGGTAGGTCATTCACAGAGGCCATGGTAGGTCATTCCACAGAGGCATGTCATTCACAGAGGCCATGGTAGTCATTCACAGAGGCCATGGTAGGTCATTCACAGAGGCCATGGTCATTCACAGGCCATGGTCATTCACAGAGGCCATGGTAGGTTCATTCACAGAGGCCATGGTAGGTCATTCACAGAGGCCATGGAGGTCATTCACAGAGGCCATGGTAGGTCATTCACAGAGGCCATGGTAGGTCATTCACAGAGGCCATGGTAGGTCATTCACAGAGGCCATGGTAGTCATTCACAGAGGCCATGGTAGGTCATTCACAGAGGCCATGGTAGGTCATTCACAGAGGCCATGGTAGGTCATTCACAGAGGCCATGATTCATTCACAGAGGCCATGGTCATTTCACAGAGGCCATCATTCACAGAGGCCATCATTCACAGAGGCCATGGTAGGTCATTCACAGAGGCCATGGTAGGTCATTCACAGAGTTCATGGTAGGTCATCCACAGAAGTCATGATGTCATCCACAGAGGTAATGGTAAGTAAACCCATAATGGTCACAGAGGTCATGGTAAGTCATCCATAATGGTCACAGAGGTCATGGTAGGTCACTCACAATAGTCATGATGTCATTCACAGAGGTCTAGGAGCTTATGGTAGGTCATTCAAAGACGTCATGGTAGGAGAGCCATGTCCACAGAATCTGTTAGACCAGGCAGGAAAGTCCTTCACAGAAGACTTGGTTAAGAAGGCTAGATCAGCAGCAGCTCGAGAAGGTGTCATGGCGTCTGATTCTATTTCTTGGAAAAAAAAAAACACTCGGGGTTTATTTTGATGACGTCACAAAAGTTACGGATGCTTTGTGAATATGGTCGATCGTTTTGGTCTTTTCTATTTTCAAAAAAGGATAGAAAATAAGGATTTTAACGGTTATATTTTCACTGAACGAGCATCAAAACAGACGCCATGACACCTCCTCGTGTTGCTACTGATCTAGCCTTTCCCGACTCCGTACATCAGGCAAAAAGGTTCTTCAGAGCGGATATGGTTAAGTTACGTATAAAAAAGATAAATAAATAAAAATCTAAAAAGGGAATAAAAAAGAAAAAAAGGAAACATTGGTCCCAAAGAAATGTTACGAATACCTATGTATGAGTAAATCTAAATCATAGTTTCTAAGACAATAAAATCGCGAATATAATAATGAAGAATTCACCCCGCCTTGAAAACACTTAAAATAAATCACTGCCTTGAAAATTACATAAATAACCCCCCCCCCGAAATTAACTCACAGAACTTAACTCCCATGAAAAGGATTATAATAAGGGAAAAGAAAAGAAACGAAAAAAACAAAGGATTATCACCAACCACAACTTATCACGAGTCGAGCATGTTTCGAATTCTGCTTCGAACACCTGCTTCATACCACGCTTTTCGTATAGGGTGAGACGGATTCGAAGATTCAATTCATTAAAAGACTTTTGTTCGCCATTCTACCAGCTGGGTCCCTTCCTGTACCGTATGCATCCGTTCCTTCAACAACAGTCCATGAACTACTCAATCTACTTGGTGGAACAAACACGTGAGTTGGTTGTTTGGTCCGTTAATTGGTTGTTTGGCTGTTCTTGTCTCGTTGTCAATGTGTCGGTATAGTTTGTGTTATTTGTAGTGTTATGAATGTTGTTATTGTTGGCCTATGTTGTTATTGTGTTGTATTGTGTCTGTTTTATTAATTATATATTTTAGTACATATAATGTACTGTTGTAGCTTAATGACTTTCTCACCGTTTTTATTTTGTAACTGTTTTTCATCACAAGGGCGGTGCTCATGAATACAATAATTATGACGACGATGGTTAGTGAGAAAATAACACTGATAACAGAAACAATATTTGAAAAGATTAAGAGGCCGATGCCAACGAATTACCATTATCATATTTTAATGTAATCCTACTGCTGTTGCTGTCATTATATTGATTTATGTTATTCTTGTTTACACTGATCACTATAATTATCAATATTTTTGGTATTAGAATTCCCTATATAATTAGCATTAACATTAGTTTCCAATAAGACTATTATTAGTACTATAGTCAAAATCAGTATCCCCAATATAATTATAACTATTATCATTATTAGTATTACTTATAATCTTAATAATTATGATAATAAACATTAATGATAATAAACATTATCACTTAAATCCTTGCCATGTAGGGCATAACCATCTGGTGCCATATAACCAATACCCAAAGGTCAAAGTTGCAGCTACAGGTTAAGGGACACTAGTCTCTCCCCAGAATTTTAGAAGGGTGTCCCAGAGCCAATTGCACAATATGAAGTCCTTGCCAAATTAAATATGTGAAAATTGCAATGAGTCATACCATCGCTATAATTGTATTTTCACTCCATCGTAAACATAGTAGGGTGCTGTGGGGAGGTGTGAAGCAATGGTGTGGTTGGCTTAAGTTATTGGTGAGTGCCTGCTTGCCTTCTCGCTTACAGCTGCCGTCACTGCTAGCTTAGTGTGAAGGGGGATCAACACTGTAAGTCTCCCCTACCAATGCATAATCCCTTTATCATGAAGATTTTTGCAGTGAATCCTTGTAGCTATTCTTGCAAGTTAGAGCTAAAGTGTAGAAAAGCAGCAAGAGGCCATTAAAGGAAGGGCATGTCTTGGATTCGTGCCAACTGCTGCTCCCTTCCAATGGTGGTTTGGGGAGGTAGTCCTTGACTGCTTCCCCAAACGGCCGTGTGTGTGTGTGTGTGTGTGTGTGTGTGTGTTAGAGTCTCACACATTAGTTCTCTCCATCTTATTCAGTGAACTAAATAAATGGGGATGTTGGGGAGCTGGAAAAGAACAACTTACAAGCAACACGACAGGCACCAACTAGCATAAGGCAAAATTTCTGAGGACCTAATATGTACATGTCGGGTCTTACAGCCTGCCATCCAGGCCTCGTCCCTCTGAGATGTAAGAGGGACCGCCCGCCGAGGCACCAATCTCGATTTACTCTTAGCAAATCCACATATGTTGTTTTCTTGCAGTGCACATCATTCAAGAGTGCCATCATGAGTTCTGACATGACATCATCAAAAAGGCACTCGAATCTGGGAGATCCTGATGAAGAATATTAGATGCTAGTATACTTGTACTAGTATATCTCGCCGGTGTACTAGGACTGAAAGTGCTTTAGTGTGATGGAGGTTCCTTTAGCTTCTTTCCACGAATTCAGGAGTGAGACAGAATTGCGTTCTTGTACCAATATTATCCATTTTATTGAGTGTTGAATGGATGATATTTAGAGGTTTCATCCAAAGTAATTACAGGGCAATGATGGGTAATACCAAGGTACTAATCTTGACTTTACTGGTGATCGTGTCAGCTTATGTGTCTCTTTAAAGAACCTAGTGGTGGCTCTTGGTTATGAGACTATGAGAGTCTCCAGGAGAACCTGTTCGTTTTACAAGTGCTTACAGTAAACTTGTTGGAAGTCACATAGCTCTGCATATCTTTAAAGTCTCGTTCGTGACACTGAGCTAACATACCAAAACACTATCCCGTGGGCAGGAACATGATAAAGAGCTGTATGACGATAAAACCTGGACTGCATTCTGTACCTTGGAGTTTGAACCCAACACGTTTTATGACATGCATCGCATCATAGGAACATGTCCAGTCAATGGCTGCACCGCAAGGCCAAGGCTACTCACTTCCACACCCAACTCATATTATGCAGCCGCTTGGTTCGCTTCACAGAGGACGATCCCACCCATGTTTGTTTACAAAAACAATTCTGGATGGAAAATGCCCGCGGGACGACCAGTGAAGTCGTGGGTTGAGCAGCTCAACCAGATTTGTTGTGATGAAGTAGAAATCAGCTGTGAACCTGCCTGGTAGCCTACCAATAGGGGCTCCTGTGGCTGGTAATGGAGGGCGAATGTAATGCATAAAACCCAATCAATTCTCAATTATCAGTATTTGTTCTACTTTATTATAGAATCGCAACTTATTTTACACATAAATTAGTCATATCTGTCATCCAGTGCTAGGAATTGAATTGGTTCATATGAAATATCTAATCTACAAGTATTCTTTGACACACCTGTTCTTTTGTATGACAATGACGAGAATCATAATTAGAGAGGATGTCAATACAGGTGAGAATGAATTGCACTGGTCAAAGCCAAGGATAATTTTACCTCACCTTTGTATATTTCAGGTTTATCAGTGACATATCTTAGCATAACTAGCTAGATATGCTAGCTATATCTTGCAGTATGTTAGTCTTAAAGATAACTTTTATGTATTTATCTTTGGTAAAAATAAGGACATAATAACCAGGCTGCATTCATTAGTATCTCGACTTAATTAATTTCAAACGCCCCTCTAATGAGTTCATACTTTAATGAATTTCAAGTTTACGACCCAGGATTTGCATCATACAGAAGAGCAGGCCTGATTATACCTCGTGTGATTATATGGGAAATGAACATTGCTTCTTTACGAGGGAAAAGTTGCATGGCTTTTATGGATGCATAAAATGGGAGTGAATTTAGTGGCTTCTTTGTGGATTATCTTCTAGAGGCTTTCCGTACACGTAAACAAGATTGTGTGGGTTTTCGAACCTTGATAAGAACAGTAATAATGTAATACCATAGTTATATATTACAATAATTACATCTTTACATAAACATTATATTATCATTATAACAATGGTGATTATCATTACCCTTCGACATCATCAGTACACAAGAAAAGTCCACCTCAGCATCACTCACATCGTCAAATCACCATCATTACACCCATTCTACCTATTCACAATCACCATCATCACACCCATTCTACCTATATTCACAATCCCCCTCACTGACCTCTTCCTACCGCCCACATCACCCACGCCCACGTCCCAGCGGAGGGGGGCTTCAACCAGGCCAAGATGTACAACGTGGGCTTCGTTCGGGCGCGCGCCGAGGGACCCTGGGACTGCTTCGTGTTCCATGACGTCGACTGCCTCCCCGAGAACGACAACAACCTCTACTTCTGCGCCGACCAGCCGCGCCACCTGGGAGTCGCGCGGTCCAAGACGGGATATCAGTTGGTGTAGATTTGTGGTGGTTGTTGTTGTAGCTGTTGCTGTTGTTGCTATTATTATTATTTTGTTATTGTTATTGTTATTAGTGTAGATTTGTGGTGGTTGATGTTGTTGTAGCTGTTGCTGTTGTTATTGCTATTATTATTATTTTGTTATTGTTATTATTATTATGAATATTATTATTGTTATTATTATTGTTATTATTATTATTATTATTATTGTTATTATTATTATTATTATTATTATTATTATTATTATTATTATTATTATTATTATTTATTATTATTTATTATTATTATTATTATTATTATTATTATTATTATTATTATTATTATTATTATTATTATTTATTATTTTTGTTATTGTTATTGTTATTGTTTGGCGATTAACTTGATTGGATTGTGTGTCGTTGTTTGATTGCTTTTTTGCTTTTGTTTGATTGGAGAACATACGCCTACATCCGCCGATACGTGTATGCATAACTTATGTATATATGTATGTGTATGTGTATGTGTTCATGTGTGTGTGTGTGTATGTGTGTGTTCATGTGTGTGTGTGTATGTGTGTGTTCATGTGTGTGTGCGAATGTATGCCATAGATACACGCATGCATCATATAACCGTTCCCACCATATATATGTATGGAACATAATTCTCTCTCTCCCTTGCAGTCACAACAACAAGTACATGGGTTGTGCCAATGCCCTGACTGGGTGGCAGGTGGACAGAGTTAATGGCTGGAGTAACAGGTAATTATAGTAATTCTGGCGGTAATAACAGAGATATGCTACTGATTAAGAATAATACTTATGGCTATGGTTCCATTTATTTAAATTACTACTGGTAGCAATGGCGTTTTTTATTTATCTGTTTTTGTAATGCTTCTGCAGGTTTTAAGATATTATGTATCTAGTAGTATTTTAAGTTTTTAGAAATTTACCTGTACTATTACTCTCTGGTCCTTGGATACAAGGCACTGTCATAGAAAAATGGGTCGATTATTTTCTTGAAGGATTTTTTGGTAGATTTACCTGTATTGAAAATAGACTTCCTTTGATCTTTCTCGCTCTCTGTGCCTGTCCATCTTTCTCTCTCATTCTCTTTCTATCTATCTATCACTCTATCTATATATGTCTATGTCTCTCTCTCTCTCTCTCTCTCTCTCTCTCTCTCTCTCTCTCTCTCTCATATATATATATATTATATATTATATATATATATATATATATGTATATATATATATTTATATATTATATATGTAATGTTGACACACACAGACACACGCACACCACACACACAACACGCACACGCACACGCACATGCACACGCACACAGCAATTGCGACAACGCACACGCACATGCACACGCACCGGAACAAATACAGCGCAACACACATTACTACTATACATAAATATACACATTAATACATATTCATGTATAATATATAACTATATTAGATATATATATATTATATGTGTATGTGTGTGTGTGTTGTGTATATATATATATATATATATATATCTGTCTAATAATTATGATAATTATATATTATTATATTATAATAATATAATATATATATATATATATATAGAGAGCTATAGTATTAGAAGAGAGAGAGAGAGATAGATATATGTTTGAGTGGTGAGTGAGATAAGATAAGAGGAGAGAGAGAGCGACGAGGCAAAGATAGGGAAGAGAGAGAGAGGGAGAGAGAGAGAGAGAGAAGAGAGGAAGTAGGGATACAAGTGTGTCCAAATGAATGGGAGACGCATGAGTGAGAAAAAAGAGATAGAATGAAGGAGATTAGGAGAGGACGAAGAGCGACAGATAGAGTGAAAATAAACTGACGATAGAGAGAAGAGAGAAAGAGCGATACACAAAACAGGCTGACTCCTGCCTGCGAAGATCCCGACAGAGAGCAACGGAATGACGCTTGGCACGCGATTAATAACTGCGCATCACACTACATCTGACACCTGTTCGACACATATTGAGAACCCTAATTGCATCGCGCGAGGACCAACAAGTGGAATGGAGAATGCTCTTTGGGCTAAAAAGACGTGAAGCCACATAGGAAATTGCTAAAATAAAATAAATAAATAAATAAATATAAAATAAAATATAAATAAATAAATAAATAAATAAAATAGAATAAAATAAAATAAAATAAAAATAATTAAATAAAATATATAAATAAATAAATAAGTAAAATAAATAAAATAGGAAAAGTAAAGTTAGAGTCACTGAAGGTATTTAAGTTTTGACTTCATTGGAAGGGAAGCAAACATCGAGCTCTTGAAAAAAATGCAGGTGTGTGTGTGTGTGTTTGTGTGCATGTGTGTGTGTGTGTGTGTGTGAGTGTGTGTGTGTGTGCGTGTGTGTGGTGTGCGCGCGCGTGTGTGTGGTGGTGAGTGTGTGTGTGTGTGAGTGTATGTGTATGTGTGCGTGTTTCCCCCGTCTCGTACAGTCTCGCAACCTCTCGCCGTCCCTCCCACCCGTGCCGCCCACCCACCCCTCCTTCAGGCACTCCCCGCCCACAGGTACTTCGGCTGGGGCGGCGAAGACAACGACATGTCCCGCCGCATCAGGGCCTCGGGAATGGGCGTGGTCAGGATGGATCCGGCGGTGGCGACCTACATGATGCTGAAACACCCCCCGGCGAGGAGGAATCCTGACAGGTACGCGAAAGGGGTGTGGTAGTATATTGGAAAAATATATGGTATATAAGTGTAGGGGGAGAAGATGAGAGAGAGAGACAGGGAAAGGAAGAAAAGACGTTTTTTTTTTCTTTCTTTCTTTTTTTTTTTTTTTTTTTATTTCCTGGAGTTTCCAAAGGTAGTTATTATTGCTCTACGTGAAAGAGGGTTGATGATAGTATATTGGAAAAAAATAGTAGAAACGGGAATAGGATGATGAAAGAGAGAGAGAGGGAAAGGGAGAAAGACATTTTTATTTCCTTTTTCTTTTTCTCTTTTGAAGGGGTGTGATAGTATATTTGGAAAAAATAGTAGAAACGGGGATTTAGGTTATGATGAAAGAGAAGAGATGAGAGGGAACAGGGAGAAAGACATTTTATTTATTTTTTTCTTTTTCTTTTGAAAGGGGATGTGATAGTATATTGGAAAAATATAGTAGAAACGGGGAATAGGATGATGAAAAGAGAGAGAGAGGGAAAGGGAGAAAGACATTTTTATTTCCTTTTTCTTTTTCTTTTGAAAAGGGGTGTGATAGTATATTGGAAAAAATAGTAGAAACGGGAATAGGATGATGAAAGAGAGAGAGAGAGGGAAAGGGAGAAAGACATTTTTATTTATTTTTCTTTTTTCTTTTGAAAGGGGATGTGATAGATATTTGGAAAATATAGTAGAAGCGGGAATAGGATGATGAAAGAGAGAGAGAGGGAAGGGGAGAAAGACATTTTTATTTAATTTTTTATTTTTTGTTGTTGTTGTTTCCTGGAGTTTCCATCTTTTTTCTTTTTCTTTCGAAAGGGGGTGTGATAGTATAATATAAGGAGGAAAATATAGAAGAAACGGGAGAATATGATGATGAAAGAGAGAGAGAGAGAGGGAGGGGAGAAAAACATTTTTATTTATTTTTTATTTTGTGTCTGTTGTTTCCTGGAGTTTCCATCTTTATTCTTTTTCTTTTTTGTTGCTTGTTCATTTCCTGGAGTTTCTAAGGTAGCTAAAATTATGTGGCTGTAGCGGTAAGAAGAGGGTCGTGGATGAGGGTATAGTTGCACACAACAACCACCCCCCCCCACCAATAGTAGAAGAGCGGAATAGGTACTGGATGAAGAGAGGAGAAGAAGAAAGGGAGA